TCTGCAATGGATGTCGCGCAATATCTGGAAGAAGTTGGTATTAACAAATTGAACGGGCCGGCGTGTTCGCCAGATCTTAACCCAATAGAATACGTTTGAGATATGCTTGGCAGGTAAGACGCCGCGAAGTGGCGCCAGCTACAAGAAATCAACTTCGCTATGCTCTGGTAGAAGAATGGCAAAACGTCCCACAAGATGATATTTGTAGCCTGATTGGTAGTATGAACCGACGTCTACAGGCAGTTATAGCAGCCCGAGGGGAAATACAAAGTAATAGGTTTTAATTTTTCCATTTTGTTTTTAATGTCCTTAGTTCTTTTATTGTTAATATTGTTTAATAAATTGTTTATTGAAATCAACACCATATCGTAAAATTTGTGAATGAAAATATGACATTAGAACGACAATCACCAAAGCCACCTCATGAAAATAGAAAATTATAATTAAAACCCAAACTCAACGAAAAATGTAAAAAATATCGCAAATTTTTCGAGGCAAGTTTATTTCGGTCTCAACAATGAACCAATGCACGTATTGACTTGAATCAAAAACACAAATGTCGAGAAGACATGGTTTTAAAAGAAAAATGATGTTTAAAGAAAAATTGCTAGCGACATTATCCCACAGGATGTTTTAAAATTAGGGTAAAAAACAGTCCTTCGATTAACTCTGTATAATAGGTCAAATATTAATTTATTTTTATGAAAATACTGAATATACAAATTAAAACTGATAAAATTAGGAGTGTGCTAAACATTTATCAAAATAAGATTAAAAATAAAAAAATTATAGCACTTTCAATTAGACCCAAATTGTTCATAATATTACAAAATTATTTATCGTTTTGAGGAAGTAAATACCAGGCATTTTTTTAGTTGTACTAAATTCAAAAAAACTAATACATTAAAAATTTAACTTGTTTTTTGGTTTATTTTAAATCTTAACAATTCTTGAGATTTTTAACCATTCTAGATAGCCAAATTATATTGGAACTAGACCTTCCTGAAATTAAGAACACGGGGAAAATATTGGAAAAGAATATCAATCGTTCAGATTATACAACTTTTATTCTGAGTTCCCCTAGAAGTTCCCACACACATATTGTTGGCGATCATTTTTTATAACATACATATTATAATACTGACGAATATCTGAATGCCATTGTAGACGACTGAGTCACGCGAAGGATTCATCCATTTTTAGGAACTTGACCTTAAAACTACCAAATTAGGACAAACTTATTGAAAAATCGCCTGCTTTCTATCATTTCGTTCGTACTAGGAAGAGACGTGAGCGAAACCATCTTTTAAATCTGACAATCGCTTAAAAGAGTATAAATACAGCTAATTTTATTTAGTATGCAGATTTCAAATTATGATTTACATTATTCATAAAATCTCTTAATAATCAAAATATACAGAGTGTTTCAATAAAAGGTGGTCCCGTTGTTAGGATTACGTATTACGTATTTTTCTTAGATTTTATGCCAATTGAGGTGATCTTCACACTAATAATCCTATAAAGGACCTGTTGATTTCATTCTTAATGTAACTCTAAAATTTTTATATCAAACTTTTCTTAAAAAACACTAAAAAGAGTGGAATTATTGTTTACGTTACAACTCAACATCTCAGTTTAAAACTCGTTAAACACGGTGTTCCACAAGGTACGGTCATTGGAGCTCTACTTTTCATCTGTTATGTAAATGATTTTCTTTTTCCCCAATAATCGCATTTCTACATCAATTCTAAAACGTACTAAAATGTCTGAAGGATATTTTAAAATGTGACACTGAAAGTGTTTGATTTATATGCCAATTTGTCCTTTTTTTCCATCTGTGGAACGAGCATGGTGTTTTTTATTATACTTAGTTGCTTTGACATGTAATTACATGCTTCCGGTTCCTAGTGTTAGAAAACTCAATCTTACCGGGCCTTCACACTGGCACAGAACGTGGATTAATGTTTTCTTTTCTTCCTCAAAGAACCTGCACAATGTGGTTTCTTCTGTTACATTGATGTCACTCATATGCCGTCTAAGGTAACAGTGTCCAGTATGAAGACCTACGGTAATCCTAACGATTTGTTGTTTTTGATTCAATAAGCCTTTCGCGAACTTGGCCAACAGTTCCTTAATGAACTCTTTCTCGATATGGACTCTCTTTGCAACTATTGTTTGATGGATGCTTTGCACAATACCTTAGCAACTCCACAGAAAGCTTCAGGGTCTATCACGGCCTTATTTAAACTTTCTCAGGCTAATTCGTCTCCTTTTTCATTACCCTGATAGACCTGATATCTTTGTTTTGATTAATTAGCTCTGTCAGGTCTTCTAGACAGTCTTTCACCAGTCTTTAGAGTTCCTTGACTATCACAGTAGATGGCAGTAGTTTTTCCTAATACTTCTTGATTTATTATTATTTATCTTATAAATTAGTTGACCAGTCGAATCATGACTTATTTGCGGGGTAAATGACATTAGTAGTTTTGATATACTACGGTTCAATTAGAAAACAATTATTATTCTGAGAGGTTTTAAAATTCCGAAAAAACTGTTAAGTTTTTATCAAATGTTAGGTTTTAATTCTGTAACTATTTTGGTACATACAATACGGTTTTAAAGCGAGTACAACCCTATTTGCATACATAAAACTTTAAGTACTTTTAAAAATAGAAAAACTATTTTCTTGAAGAACAATTTTATTTCCTAACAGATTTTCGATAAGCACTGGAGAAACTTTTTAGAACTTATATAGTATTTGACACGCTATACCGCAATACAGATTGATATGTAGTTTTCATGTTCAACTTAATAATGTCATTAGTAACATTTTTGTATCCAACACTCTAAACGAGTTGGAATTATTCCGAATGTATGAGTATGGGTGAATTTAATTAAAATAATATAGTTGTAAATCGCAAGTATAATTGACTTGATTTATGTTTAAAACTTCATAATGAGGGCAAAAACATTAATGAACAGTCACCAGACGACTAGACTGAGATAGTGATGCGTCTGACAGGCTGTCAAAAAGCATTCCAATCAAATTTATTCTGTTATAATATTGCAACTTAGGTATACGTATAAAGAAGAGAAACAAATAGCTTATACAGGGGACCGAATCTACAATTAAAAAAATAGAAACGAAAATAAGTCCAGTGACGAGGGGTAAAATTAGTAAACCGGTGATGTTATTTGCTTCTAAAATATTTTGAGTTCTGTCCGCTTATACCGGAAGTAGATGTTAACTTTCTTATTGTAGTGTTTGTTTATTTAAACAACAATTTATTTGTTAATAATTTATTTGAGCACTTATTTATTTTAAAACAATACTATTCTAATTTATATATATTTCGAATGTCTTTAAATTGTTCACTATTTATCTCCACAACTGTCTGTATACGACTGACCGACTGTGTTCTTCCACCAATATTTATATACACTTTTAAAATTCTGGTGAAGGTCTAGAATGCTCCCGCCAAAACTAGAAACATATTCACGTTCTTTCTGGAAGGTCTTAGGGGTTTAATTATGTTTGATAATCGGACAAATTGAGCATCAAAGGCCAAATAAGACAGAGAGGAACTTGGAGGATTAGAGCATGACTGAATAATGAAATGGCTCGCATTACATTATTTTAAATGGGACATCGAAGTATTTGTTTTCACCTTTGGGGTTCGGGGATGATCTTAATAATTCGTAAGGGGATTTTACAGAGTTGTTTCCGAATTTTCAAATTATTCTACAACTCATTTCAGATGTTTTGGATTTCGATTTGCGATCTACGATATATTAAATTCACAATTTTCATACTCAGGTTTATATCGCTTAACGTACATTGAAAACTTAACTCACAAATATAAAGATGTGGGCTTAGTATGCATCATTGCATTTCTCATATATACCGATGTTGTAGAGAGGTATTTAAAAATTTGAGAACGAGCCTGAAACGGCTTCTGGCCCGAACTAGCACATCAAATTTCTGTCTAGGAATCTCGACAGTCAATGTCGTCATGGTCATGGACAAATATGTCTGGGTTCGAATTCCAGCGACGACAGGCTTTTCTCAAATCTTATTTGTTTTCACCTTTGGGGTTCGGAGATGGTCTTAATAATTCGTAAGGGGATTTTTGGGGTTTGTTTTCGAATTTTCAAATTATTCTACAATTTTTTTATTTTATTTGATATCTATTAATTCTGTTTAGGTAGTTCGTATCTATTTATTTTTTTTTTAAACTATTATAACGACAGGATGAAATAAAATATCATACGATATACGTCCGTTTGGTGTAATTACAGTAGTACTCGTTTATATTCCTGACTCAGCTCCTGCGTCGCCTCGTAAAACAACTCGTACTGTAATAAGTCACCTACCGGACTTGTAGCGCAAAATACTAATAATTGTGTGTATAAATAAATAATATACAGGGTGTTTCAAAAAGATTAGTCATAAATTATACCACGTATTCTTGGGTCAAAAATAAGTCGATTAAACTGTACTTACCTATATACAAAAGTAATTGTTTGTAAAATGTTTGGTTTAGACAATACAGCCACTTAAAATGACATCTTAAAAATATTCAATGTAAATTATACGTATGCAAAAATATCAAAATATCGTAGGACAGCCCAGCCTGTATTTTCTTTAAATCGTAAGTTTACTCTAAAAATCACAGTAAGTTGCAATTTGACGATCAAACACCGTAGAATTATAGACCCTGAGAAACTACGCGAGTTTCGAAATAGAGATAGATGTGTACTGAGAACTTGATTAGTTTGATAGGCAGGTTAGCTAGCAAGGTAAACAGGAGTTATGTGAACCTAAGATGTGAACCAATTTAAAACGTATGTTAATTTCAGTGACAAAATGGTTTGTTAAAAGTCAACTGTCATTGGAACACAAATCACGTTACACTTATATAACTCATAGCTCAAAACAATTACTGATAGCTCTTATGCGGTGTTATAAACATTTCTAATAGTTTTTTTTTTATTTTAAGGTACCAAGAAAATGGAATACAAGACCAGGCAATGGCACGAGAAATGTTTCTGTTGTTGCGTATGTAAAGTACCGATCGGCACACAGAGCTTCATCCCACGCGAACAAGAAATATTTTGCGCCAAGTGCTACGAAGAGAAGTTCGCCACTCGCTGCATCAAATGCAACAAGGTAAGCTACATCATTTTTATCTCTTTTTTTATATTTTCGTAGTTACCACGGAAAAAAATTATTTATTTTTTTCTACACATACAGTGAGGAAGTAAAATGTGCCCCCACCTCTTAACTTCTGAATGGAAGAAGATAGAGACATAAAACAACAACGAAGTGACATTAGAGAGATATTATGATATTCTTGTTATAACGAGATGCACTTTACTTGAGGCGTAAAATAAAGGGGCCACTACCTTTAAATTTTCTAATGGAAATAGGGTAATTTGAAAGATATTTTCATTATATTTACGTCCATGCAAACTAGTGTTGAGGATCGCTCGAGTGAAAAACCTCTCGAGTACTCGATTATTGAAATAACTGACATTACTCGGGTATTGAAACAACTATTCGAATTATAAATTCAAATGAAAATTGTCGCCTAAAATTAACAATCACCTGATCACTTGTAATGCTTTAAACGGCCAGGCGCTGACTCGTGGCAGTCGAACAATCGTTGACGTCATCACTTGTCTCCTACTTCATTTGCGACACCGAAACTCAAGTGAAAAATCATCCAAATTTTATTGCGTATGATTCAGGCTGCAGGCGATCTACCTGCATTCTCATTCATTATTTGAACTAATATTTCGAGTAATAAATCGCTCGAGCAATTGGTTTTTTCAACACTAATGCAAACAGTTTTAGGTTTGTTTTAATGTTTTTACAGAAATTACATTAAAAAATAAATTAATGAAGTACGTTACATTCTTGATAACCCTCGTATTTACTATTATTATTTTTTTTTCTTTTTTGTGTCATCGGCATCAACTGCTACGGTTATTAGCCTCGTGTTCTGTGTAGGCTTTGTTACCGTTTCCCAGTGCCACTTTAGAAACAGCACTGTTAATTAGTACCCAACAGTGAATGGTCGAGTGGGGAATCCAACCAAGGCATCAGAATTAATTTTAAATAATTAAATTAAATAAAAAATCCCGGCCAACGGTGGGATTCGAACCTGGGACCCTTGGATCCGCAGGCAGAGACTCTACCACTGAGCCACCCACCCCGTTATTATTATTATTATTATTATTGTTATTACTACTACTACTAAGGAGACGCTTTTTACAAATTAGGCATTCCAACGACTTGTCAAAATGCTGACAAGTGGGAACTGACAGTTTCAATATGACAACCCTGTGAGCCTGTTGTCATTGACAGAGTCAATGGTACATATATAGTTATATAGATTGCTCAAAGTGGGTCGTTTGCGAGCAGCCATATTGCCTGTTCATTAATTTAAATCGGTTTAGCAAAAAGGTGTTTTAAAACCTATTTTAAGCCTTTAAATATAGTAAAAAAAAATCATTACTAACATTTTTACTTTAAGGCATAAGCTTATGTCTATTTTGAAAAACATGGATGATCAATCTATATAACTATCTATTTCATTGACCCTGTCAAATCACCTGGCCTACAGGGTTGCCATATCATAATCTGTCAAAACCCACTGGTAGCCATTTTGTTTGGGGTGCCTAATTAAAGAAACACAATATTTACTAAAATAAATAAATTAAGAATATCAAAGTGGTTTTCAGATTACAGGAAATTATTCCATTTATTTATCAATGTATGTTATGTTGGGAATGGTTAATACCCTGCGACCTAAAAGATCTATTGTGCCCCCTTCTGTCGCTAATGCAACAAGGAAATGTTTCAATGCCTATAACGACCCTATCTTCTCATTGGAGTTTCTTCAAGTTAGACAAATCTCCCTCTTCTATTTGATATGCTCCTAGGTATAGTGTCGATTCTGGAGAGCTACACATTCAGTCAGAATGTGAATGGAGGTTTCGTCCTCCTCCTCCTCGCAGAATCGGCATTCACTATCTTCTACTACTCTCAGTTCTCTAAGGTGTCGTTTGAGTCGGCAATGCCCAGTAAGAATCCCTGTTAAAATACGTAGCCTGTTCTTGCTGAGGCAGATACAGGCTTTCGATCTTTTCTGATTATATTCACCCATAAGTATCTTAGCCTGTCCTAGCCCCAAGAGACCGTTGATAATTGGTTATTAACTCTTCTACTGCCCAATTCTTTTTTAATCTCTCCTAATATTCTCTTACTGCTGATATCGTAGAACGGCTTATGTCCGCAAAGGGTGATTGAGTCCCTTTCCTTGCGAGATTATCTGTATCGTTATCCTGTACCCTGTTATGTCCTGGGACATGTTGATAATCTCTGGTCTACGATAGTTTCTCTCGATGTTAAACTGGATACACTTTTCAATAGCGTAAATTTTCGCCGGCAAGATGCTTGGGTATTTTCCCAAACTTTCAGGGTATCTGGTTCTAGGCTCATACACGCCTATTCCCGTTTCTTCTATGGTTTTGGAATCATCCACCTGTGTGGTTTTTCACAAAACTACTACTAATTCATTTCATTTTGGCGCATATCCCAAGTATTTTCGGTTCTGAAGCTAATCGTCTGATTACTCCATTCCTGATCATTTTATATTGTGTCCTTTTTTCCACATCCTCTATCATTAAATGTAGAGAGGTAAGGTTTAAGATTACCTCTCTATCATTAAATGTAGCGAGGTGAGTTTTAAGATCATCTCGATTGCGGCCATAGGACAGGTTCCCATTGCACTGGTGATGCAAACACAGGCTAGTCTTTGTACTTTTGAGATATTAGCTTTCGTAGTAGCTAAACTAGTTCTGTTACTCCAGGCTATGTAAGTGATGATTGGTTTCACTATTGCAGTATACATCCATCGCACTGTGTTCAGGTTACATCCCCATCTTTTACCAGCAATGTATACCGTTAGGGCTTTTGTGGCCTTATTTACTACTCCCTTCTCATGTATTTTCCAGATATCAATGTAGCTATGGTGTAAGGCGGGCATCGTAGTTCTACGACCGACATCGGTCATTCATAAAACGCGTGCTCGCTCAAATCATCCCCTCTTAATTAAATAGGCGTTTCACTCTTTATAATGCAACAGCCGAGGCGACAGCTCCGTGTGTCTAGCATAAAACACGAACTGAATACTTGCAAGTAAACAAAGGCATTATGCGTTTTTCATCGTTGCTTAGTATGAATATTTGCTAGAACCGTCGGTATAGTCATCCTTCTTGTAGGAAGTCATCGATTTCTTCACAGTAACGGCTCAATCTTCACCAGTATTTCTGAAGTTTAGTGATTTTAGCCTTATTTTACCTTTGTGGACGTCTTAATAATCGCCCAATTCGTTTTCAGGTCATCACCAGCGGCGGCGTAACCTACAAGAACGAACCATGGCACAGGGAGTGCTTCACCTGCACTCACTGCACGAAATCGTTGGCCGGCGAACGCTTCACATCGCGCGACGACAAGCCTTACTGCGCCGAATGCTTCGGCGAGCTGTTTGCCAAACGATGCACGGCCTGCAGCAAACCAATCACCGGTATCGGAGGCACCAAGTTCATCTCGTTCGAGGACCGTCACTGGCACAACGATTGCTTCTTCTGCGCCAACTGCAGAACGAGCTTGGTTGGTCGCGGATTCATCACCGATCAGGAGGACATCATCTGTCCCGATTGCGCCAAAGCCAAGCTCATGTAAACCCTGCAGCTTGTCACCACACCCCGACAAGTTGATTGACAACAGCTGTCATCCGGGTGACGTTCGACTATCGTGGCGAGCGTCGGCCGGTTGATAGATGTCTAACGGATGGTTGTGAGGTTAGGAAATCAGTTCTTTTGGGTGGTTAATCTATTTCCGGTGGATTCTCGTGATATTTGTAAATATTTTCGTTGTTATACAGTTATTAGATTGAAAAAAAAAACTGTGATAAAACTATTGTCGAAAGGAACATAGGCCTTATACTGAATGTCAATGTCTTTACCATCTTGTAGAATAGAATTTACCATTTGACAATACTTACATATCAAATCACATAAAAATTTCATATCGGAATTAATTTTTTTATTGAGATAGATTGACCGACCCTCTTGAACTGATTTTTCGAAAATTATCAAAAATGGAAATACGGAATTTTGTTTATAAATTAAATTACTGTGAATTATTTTTTTAAAATTAATCACTTTTCCTAACACTTTTACCACTGTAAACATGACGATTTTGGTAATATACCAAAATTTAAAAAAAAATACACTTAAACACAAAACACACACGCACACAATGACACAAACAATAAAAAAAAGAAAATGAAAAAAAAAATATGAACAAAACTTATTTTTTTGATTCGTTCGAATTAATGTTTTTAATTTTAATTTAAAGTTTTTTTTGAGTTATAAGTTGTGTTTTAATATAATTTTTATTTAGTTTATTGTCAGAGTTCTATTAATATTTTTTCTTTTCTTAGAGAAGCTTATTTATTTTTATTTTTTTTACACTTACAGACTACTACTAATTTAAAAAAACTACGCTTGCGCTTTTATGAATTTTGATGTATCACATATGAGTTGGTTGAGCAATAATTGACGATGTAGCCTAGCCATATTCTATATTCTAAATAAATAAGAAACATTGCCTTAATTTGATATATTCGATATTAAGTGTTATATCAATTAGGAAATATTTGTACCGATCGAAATCGAAAAATCCACACCCAGAAGCGTCTCCTGACACTTGACACCCGTCAAAAAATTATAAGATTTGTTGGCACCTGTCAAACAATGACAGATGTCAAAGTTGACGTTTTGGGAATTTTGGGTTTTTAGTTTTCGATTGAATTGTTAGTAGATCATTAATATATTCTTATTTGTAATTTATGAGAACTTTTAAAGAGTTTGTTGTAGATAATATTTATGTATACAGCTTAATAGCATTTACAGTTGATGGAAGAGAGCAATTTTGGTGCTATTTGAGTAGAAGTAGTTGAATTTTTAATTTGTATTTCTTTCTTAGTTTTGAAAAAACTATTGAGGACGTTACGATTATTAATTATTATATTGATTGTTGCATAATTGTATTTTATCAAAGCTTTGATTTATCAATATATTAACGAGAAATTTGTTATTAATATTTTATTTAGATTTAACAGTTTCATGTATATTTTAATCATGTACTTGTAACCTTTGGGAATGTTATAAGGACATTATTGTTATAAGAACCGTTGAAGACGACATAAAGGGCTTTGCTTTTAGGGTACATCTGTTATATTTTATTCTTTAATAAATTCTTTAAAAAACTTTAGATTTTTATTTAATGATTACCTTACTTCCCCCTTTTTTGCTAACAGTTTTAATGGGTATTTTAAAAGGTACTCAACTATTTAAACAAGAAGAAATTAAATAAAAATGCTTCAAAAGGGAATAATTCAACACAAATATTTTAAGATTCAATTTTTTTATTTAACTATAGTTACAATTTTTAATCGTTTATAATATTGAAATATTACTCACAATATTGTACCCATATTAGGCAGAGTTGCCAGAGTTTTATGCAATACAATTTTATGAGTCATAAAAATGTAAAGTTATAATTCTGATAGTCGTAATATAAAAATAAAAAATAACATTAATACTGTAGTCCACCGGTATTAGACAAAAAATTACCCTAAAACGAACATTTTTAGTACATCAGAGAACCCCAGATAACAATGAAGGTTTTGACTTTTTTTGACAAAATGTTACTATGTGCAGAGATGAGAATGATCGGAAAAAGTTATTATCTTCTATTATAAATATCACTCACTACTTCACGAGATCCCCAACACTATAAGCCTGATTGACTTGAAATTTGGTGTAGTTACTCCTTTTTCGGCGCAGACACCCACTAAGAACGGATTTTTATATTTTAAGAAGGTCAGGGGGGTGTATCGAATTTTTTAAAGGTAGGAACTTGAAAATTGGAATTGTAGCTATTCATCATAAATAATAATGGATTTCAGGGATTTAGATTTTAACATTTTAATGGGAGGAAATGGGGGGGGGGGGTGAAAGCTTGTATGAGAGCATCAATTTTTTTAAAGGTAGGAACTTGAAAATTGAAATTGTAGGTACCCATCATAAATAATGACGTGTTTCAGGATTTTTGAATTTTTACATTTTAAAGGAGGAAAGGGGAGGCAGGTGAAAGTTTGTAGGTATGGAAGTATCGATTTTTTAAAGGTAGGAACTTCAAAATTGGAATTGTAGCTACTTACATAAATAAATAATGACGTGATTCAGGATTTTTCACATTTTAAGGAAGGGGAGGGGGAAGTGCCGAAATAAAAATAAATAATACTAATTAAAAAACAAATAAGTTAAACTTCCTACCCCCTGGTTTGAAAAATATGAGAAGTGAGTTGATAAAAACAACACCTCGTGGTCCCGACCCCCGACAGCCTAAGAGAGGACTGCTTTATGCGAGTTGTTAGAGATTCAGTTATCCATGCAATCTGGTGATATTAGCAGATGAGAGCAGTAGCAGAAATGTAGTATAAAAAGAGATTTTTAATTAGATTACTATGCCTAAATATTAGATTATTCTACTTAACTCTAATCTATAATACATACATACCATGAACCCTAAAAAACATATTATCCCTTTTCTTGGGAAGTCATGCATTTTTTTAAATTAAAAATACGACTTAACCTGTGCGAATTAGTGCTACATACTTCAAAATTCCCTAAATTATATCATTCTCATCTCTGTGCATAGTATGAAATTGTCCAAAAAAAATTAAAATCTTCATTGTTATCTGGGTCTCTATGCTGTACTAAAAATTTCGCTTTAAAAACTAATTCCGGGGCGTGGACTACGGGATGTCGATCTCGGATGAGTAACAAGATCTCTGAGGAAAACCTGTCTCGAAAATACCGGAATTAGATTACACCTAATCCCGGAATAAATCGGGGACGCACCTAAAAAGTCTACTTTTACTGTAATTGTCTTCTGCGAAACTAGATAATTACATCACTAAATTAGCATATTGAGGCAATATGACAGCCTGACGCTACATAATTAGAAAGTATACGAACCATTATGAGATTTCATACTTTCAACCATTCAAGATAATGCCCCACCGCGTATGTTGTCAGAGAAACGATAACATTAATGGATTGAGATCACATTACTTTGGTCCTCTAATATTACCTGATCCGTCATCCTCCTGTTGGGACATTATTGGTCGCAGGCTGTCGAGTTTGCAGCACCCTCCACAGACTTTAGCAGCCCTTTTCCCTTGAAGTTGACGTAGCCTGGAATAAGATACCCCAAAAAGACGACTACCTCATCAGAACCGAGCGTAATAATTGTATCGATGAGTCCATAATAAATCGCGGGTCGTCATCACACTAAAATGAACCATTTTGTTAATAAGTTGTCTAATGAAGCTCAATTTTTAAATAGGAGGCACTGAAGATGTGTACCAAAAATTATTAAAATCGGATAAACATACTTGGGTGTTTACCTTTTTTTTGTTACTCAGTATAATTTCCCTTCGGTAATAGTTCTTAAATCTCACTGTAAATTTCACTCAATGCACAAGAAAACCGATAGATTTGATTGCTTTTGACCAATCATCTCTATCTGCAGCCATATAGGAGTAGTTATTCAAGTTTTAAATAATTTATGTACTTTGCCACCTGATTAAAATAGATCATATTATTATTCCCAAACTTTTGTCTGCAGATGATCACAGATTGTTTCGTTGTTAGTAAGGACCACATAAAATGGATCAACTTCTTTTATACTGGTGGACGAGTCTCCAAAACTAGTTGATAGTAGATCTGTAATTCTTTATTTTGGTGACTTGTCCATAGATGGTGACCCCATTTTATGTCCATAATTTGGCCACAAAATTGCTTCTTCTTCTTTAATGTGGTCATGGGCTTAATCCGAGGACTATCCACCCAGGTAAAGTTATTTTTTAAAATTTTGTTCAAGTTGAACAAAATTGCTTCGATAGTAAAGTTATTGTTTAATTCATTAGATTTTTTTCTTCGTTTTTACAGTTACTATACATCTAATTACTTTATAAATTTCAACATATTATTTCACTCATTGAAACTAAGAGGCATTCTCTATATCTGTATTTTTGACTATCAAAATCCTTCTAGTAATCTTAAAAAACAAAGAATTTACATTTTCACCATTAACTCCAGAACGACTCAAGATATCAAAGTGATTTCATTTTTGAAACCTACGAGGTAATCTGTAACTATATGCATATTTTCAACTAAATCAATAATACCGTCTTTTTGTAAAAAAAAGGCAACTTTGTCTATAGACAATGTCTTTGATACTGAACTAAATTTATTTCAGTTTTTCTCATCAACTGTATATGGAATTACTGTCTATGAAGTAATTGAAATCCCAGTCTCTCAAAAAATGTAACGTGCCTTATTTTTTTTCTTTAATTTTCATGAAAATTTACATACAGGGATTTAATTTCAAAACTAGCCACCCAAAATAACTTTTAAAATATCTTTAAAACAAAAAAACACGTTAATTTATATTTACGGGGGGGACACATTTTACAAGTATCTGTAACCGTGCAGTTTCATCTCCTAAGCGCTGGTGAATCACTTCTAAAATTTTAAATAGAAAGGGGTATCATGTGATAGCTCTTCTTAAAGGTCTCTTTTTTCCAATCTTTTGACACATTTTTTTAAATCGGATTAATTTTTCACCAAGTTATGCCATTTTAACCTTTTAAATTAAAATAATTATTTACATTATATTTGCGTAAGAATTACATTGTACTTAAATAAGATGTTCAAAATGTCCGCCAACAATATTTGTTAATCTGGAGACTTTTGGTATTTATGTTTGAGGTTCCATGGCAAAGTGACCTAAAATCTCAACTTTTGCAGCTTCAGTTAAAACTCTACGATTCCTTATAGTTTTATTGCACACTTCCAGTTTCTTGAAATTTATGAACTAAATCCAACACATACTGATGCCCAACATTTTTATCGGGATGTCTCTGATTAAAAACACGAGCAGTTCTGCGTGCACAGCGTTGTTCTTCACCATAAATTAAGATTATTTCAATTCTTTCTTGTAAAGAATAAACTATTGTCAAAATTAAATTGTCTGTACACAACGAATCCAATAATCTACTAATAATAATGGTTTTAATTTACGGTCAAAAATATCTTACGCAAAAAACATTTAAGGCTTTTTGCTAACTTGTTTATCTCGGTATTTATACTCATGCATTTTAATTCAATATTTTTGATACCCCTTTCTATTTAAAATTTTTAGAAGTGATATTCACCACCGCTTAGGCGATGAAACTGCACGGTTACAGATACTTGTAAAATTACCTTTTGCTACCAGAATGAAATACTTTTTTGGTTTAGTGGTTCCCAAACTTTATTCGACAGAGGACGAATTAGTTTTGAAAGAATAAAGCTATACACAAAATCTATAGACAAGGCCCCAACACAAGGAACATTCAAAACTAAAAATTTCATATTAATTTTTTTATGATTTACAAATCCTGATTTATAAGTTTATTTGTATTTTCATATGCTTGTTAATTTTTTTTAGGTAATGCCATGTTGTAAAAAGTGTTTCAAAAGAGGAAACATTGTACATAGTGACTAAATTTTATCTAAAAAACATTAAGAATCAAATTCACAATTTTTAAATAAATTGGCATTTTGTATATTTTCTCTCCCACTAACGAAATTAAACAACGAATAAGAGAAAATTATTTTATATACAAAATCACATTGTATGGATACATATAAAATACGAAAATTACATTAATACAAGTTATCATCTGACATATTTCGAAAAACAAATAAAAACGAGTGGAATTTTGATAGTTGACAAGTGAACAAACAAAACAAAAACGTACGATTATCGCTAAAAAAATTTAAGTAACCAAAGCCCGTTTTGAAGATGCCATAAAAACCATAAATTAAATACATCTTACATTCAGCCAATTTTTAGGGCGTCTTCGAAACGAACCGTTTAAATACAGATCTAATCTAACCTAAAAAAAAAAAAGAAATAATAGAATAAATAAATAAATTATTTAAACTGGTCCATAAAATATATCTTCAAGTCAAAACAGGCTTTAGAAAAATTTACAAAAATATACAAGTTCCTCTTCTCCAGTACTCCAGAAATGGATAAAAATTCAAACTACACCGTTAACAGCTGCCCCGAACAATACGGACAACTGTGTACACTCTCCTTGGGTTCCACCAAATTACTGCTTTTAATCTCAGATAACAATGTCAAAATCTCCTCAGCCGCTTCATCGTTTCCGTCTATATGCGTCGAATCCGGCAAGCGCAACGGCGGCTCTTGCGAATCCTGATTATGTTGGTACTGATCTAAAAGATCCCTACCGACTTCTATGGGTTTTTCTTTTATTAGCCTTTCTACTAATTGATTCAGTTTTTCTAGTTTCGCTTTGATTTGTTCCCTGTCTGTAGCTAATTGCTCCAACTGTTCATCTTTCTCTTCCGCCTGAAAAAATAAAAAGTAATTATGAGTTACATAAAAATAAGACGCTATATAATAATTTTTATATATTTATTATAAAGGATGTTCCAATAAAAATTCGCTTCTCCAGAAGAACAATGACGTAAGTGCTAATTTTTACTTTAAATGCCTATAAATCTTTAACTGTTTCAGAAAATAACTCATAAGTACTATCTAAAACTAGAAGTCCTCATCAATCTTTAAACATCCCAGTTGTAAGATCATATTAAATTTATTTTAATTTGTGATTTCTACGAAATCATCAATTTTCACTTGTGTCATTGTTCTTCCAAATATATTATATATCCAAAATACGTTATAAAGAAGCAAAACCCCTCTGAAGAGAACCCTTGAAGATGGTTTTCTGACAATATTTTTAAAACCAGTCCTGATAAATACAAATTATGAATTTCTCTTCCGAATGTGACAATTAATTTAAAAACTTTATCCTTCAAACTGGGACGCCCAAACTAGGTACGATGGGTGTATAAAAGTACTATATTTTATCTTTTACATTTTATTATATTTAAGACTGTTTTTATAAAATTAAACAGAGCCACTCAAATTTTATGGAATAGATTTGAGATTGCTGCAAAAATCAATAAATTTCAGCTATTTGCATCATATGGTACTAAGACTTATGTTTATAGAAACTGCCTTATTTTCACCTGTATACACTGTTAAAATGTTTACCTCTACTTTTGGAACACCCTATGTAATAAAACCACAGAAACATGATATTGTTTCTTCAGACAGGATACACTGAACAGCTATGCAATATTCGCTATTAGTGTGTTTTAATAAAGAAAATAATATGCTCCTATCATAAAATCCAAAGAAATAACTGATAATATTTCTCAGAGAGCGGATAGGAGGAAATGTTTTTAAAAATTTGGATAAATATGCAATTACACTGATTAATTCGTATGAAAAGAAAGTTTTTAATATACTCCCCATACAAAAATGAACACAGGAAAAATCATTAGTGTTAAGGCCAAAGACCTAGCAGGCCATTTTCACAGTTACACTGTCGTTTTGTAATTCAACACCAGGAAGAGCATAAATTAGAGAAATTATTTAATATTTGATGTTATTTAACCCTCCCACCATCTAGAAGTATTATTCACTTATCTAACATTTCAACACATAAAAAGAGCCATAAGCGACAATATCAATGGCTTTACTTCAAATTACCTTGAACTTTTGATGCCCAACAATATTTCCTTTTTTCTCGAAAATTCGTAACTTATGACTCAATTAAACTTAATAGTTTTTCATTTAATAAATAAATAAAAACTCACCTTCTGTTTCAATATCATCCGCTGGTGCTGATACAACGCCACATACTCGCCGATCGTTTCAGTCTCGCTCTGCAACTGAAGCACCAAATGCTCCAATCGTTGCTTCTCATCACTCAAATCGGCAATCTCTTGCATCGTCTTCTTTACTTTCTCCTCCAAACGCGTCATCGCCTCTTCCTTCTCCAACATACGTTCACATTTAGTTTCTTTACTCGATTCGGAAGCGTTATTATTGTCAGTTTCAGTGTGATTCTCCAATTTAGTCATCAATTCTTCGTTTTTCAATCTCATTTCATCTAATCGCGATCTCAGATCGACATCATCGATGCCGTGTTCTTTTTGATTTCTAAGAACGTTGATTTCGTTCGTTAATCGAACGACGGTCTGTTTGGCGTCTTGTAGCTCGCTCTGGAGGGAATGTGACGAGTTATCATGGGCCTCATAGTGTCTTAATCGATCTGCGAGTTGTTCTTGATGCAGCACCTGCTTGTTGAGTTCGGCTGACGAATCTCGCAACAGCGATAATTCGCGGTCTTTAATCTCTATGGCGTCGGTCAGTCTTTGGAGTTGTAGTTCGGTTTTTTGCAGCTTTTCGAGGAGGTCTTTGTTACTAGAGGTTTCGAATGCCAGTTTTTCAGTTAGTTCAACCTTATCGTTGTCCTGGAATATAAAAAATACAGTAAATATCACGGAAAAATTGCAAGGATTAGACTTAACTATTTAATGTCCATTTTATTAGACATCAGCCCTAATATTAATTTGCAATCAAGGTTGAGCTTTGATTTTTACTATCTCCCTAGACCATATATCAGCGACTATTTCTCTAGAGAAACAGTCAATGTTTGGTCTAGTGAAATAGTCGTGCAAAACATAACATATTAATATTCTGCTATTTTTATTGTTGCTAAATTTCTCTCGAACATTTTACAATTTGATTCTACATCATTTTGACGTTAATAATAAATTGATTAAAGCCCTCAAGTTGAGCTCTCGGGCTCTAATCAGATTATTATTGCCAAAAAAGTCTCATCAAATTGATATTAAAATATTCTCGAGATTTAGATTCAACAAAAATAGCTAACTATTATCAAGGTCTTGATATATTACCCTTAATAATAGTTCAAATAACTGTCAATATGTGATACATATTTGAACTAATAAAAAAAGAGGTTACATCGACAAAAGTGCAGAAAAAAATGTAAATATTAAGAATACTATTTAGCTGCAAAACTAAAACAGTTATAAGGACAATAATTAATAGAAAATGTTAAAAGCACTAAATAAATAGAAAATAAATGAAAGTCATAAAAAAGTCATAAAGCACAAATAGTACGAAAAAAAAAAAAGCGAAAACTAAAGAGGAAAAAAAAAATACTATAAAACTTAAATTATTAAAAACACTATTTTTAAAATGATGACGTCACTTTCTTCTTCTAAAAATTAGTTAAATACACGATAAAAGAGCTAAAAGTCTGTACTATATCGTCAGCTTAATTTTAAAACCTCTTAAGACAGGTTTGACCATCAAATTTTGAAAAACTCATTGAGTATTTAAATATTATGTGTTGAAATAATTAAATTACAACTAAGTAAATTATTATGCTACCTTTTGACAAAATTGTTATTTCATTAACCCTTTCACTGCGGGAGCCGTCCAAAGCCGCAGCAGAAAGTGGCAACTGAAGTGCGGGAACCGTCTATAAATACAGCAGCTTCCGATAGGTTTACCTGCGGCTCCGTGGCAGCCGCACACCACGATACGTTAAAAATGACGCACGCCGCAAGTGAAAGGGTTAAATGACTGAAGACTAAAAAGTATTACCTTATTTTCATAAATTTTTGATGAAGTTTTAAAATTAAAAACACTATTTTACGACTATTAATTTTTGTAGGTTAATATATATTAAACTGAAAGAGATAAAATTGTTTCTTCAGACAGGATGCACTGAACAGCTATGTAATAATCGCTATTAGTGTGTTTTAATAAAGAATATAATATGCTCCTATCATAAAATCAAAAGAAATAACTGATAATATTTCTCAGAGAGCGGATAGGAGGAAATAAAAAAAAAATGCCTTAAATACGCAATTAAACTGACCAATTCACGAAAAATGTTTTTTGGTGAAATTAAAAATCGAGAAAAAAATCACTAAAATGTGTTTAGTATTATTCAAAACAAGTAATTTGCTTAACTAAATACTAGACAAATAATTGTAAAATTCGCCTCTAGGACAAAATTTAATATTTATTGTTGGAGTGAAGTTTCTAAAAGAAAAAGTTGAAAATGAAAATCATATAGATTTTTATTTTTGATTTGTCTACAGAACTTTTTTTTTTTTTTCAAAAATTCGATAAATATTAATTGAAGGGTTTTGAATTTGTTAGAAGGAATTTAGATACGTTTTAAAATGATAAGATGGAAGAATTTCAAGTGGTAAAAAAGTGTAGCTTCTGATTAAAAGGCGATCGATACCAGAGGAAGCAGCATGAGTATAGAGGAAAGTGGAACAGTGCAGAGACGACTGTATAGATCAGAGATATGAGGGGGTCGATGTGTATAGGAAAATCTTACCAATTTCCTATACAATAAAAAATCATTTAAGTTGAGAATCGACCCCTAAGGGAGAGCAGTAGAGGACACAGGAAAAAAGGGACAGACTAACCCACTGAAGAGAAAAAAAAAATATTTTTTTTTGCATAAATTTTAGATAACTTATCAACACTTTTTGAGTCTTGGGCAAGATATTAGAAATTTAATTAAATTCGTGTATATTGATCTATGGTTTCATGAAGGTAGGTAAAATAATTTCTGCCGATTCAGGCAAAATCCCCTGTCTACTACATCACCAATTATATTCAGAGCTATGCAAGGCTAAATGTGTTTAATAACTCACCATTTTGGCGAACACCTCCTGCATGCTTTCGAGCTGTTCCTTCAGTTCTTTGTTTTGTTGAACGGCCCGAGCGGCGGCAACTTTGTCGCTTTCCATGGTCGCCAACAGTTTGACGCTATCGGGTTGGTTGCCGCGTAGCTGTTCGACCATGCTTTCTAATTGACTCAGAGAGTCGTTTTTGGCAGAGAGTTCTTTAAGGAGCATGTCCTTTTCGTTGAGAGTTTTGGTGTAGTTCTCTTCGAGTTCGGTTTTTTCCATCTGAAAGTTAAAGATCGGTTGTAAAATATGCTCAAAAAATCATAGGTTTAAGTGTATAAAGGAATAAGATCGTTATTAAGTAATGTATTAATAAAACTAAGATATATTTTAAATGCTTTCTTATACTCTTTATATATTAAAATACAATATTTAAAATCATTCAACAGTAACAAAATATAAATAAATGATCAAACTTTATTTCAAAACATGTTTTTATGTAATTATTGATGATCAGCAAAAATAATTTTGGAAAAATTATTTTTTTGAAGCAACTTCAAACGAGATATTTTAATCATTTGTTCAAACCACTTGTATAAAATGAAATAAAGTTCATCAAACATTGCAAAATTGTATATAAATTTATCCTAACCCACAATCAGGTCTTGGAAACTATAGTATCACTCAAAATATAGAACATATAAGATTTTTTGTCAAGCTCAGGAAATATAGTACCCACATATTTTTTTGAAACTGGCAAATATATGTAAAAATTGCTTACATTTTATTTATAACTATTTTTCCGAAAAGGTTTATACAATATTAACGTCTTGTACGTACTTTAGGCTAGCCTGATTAAGGGTTAAATACCTTTCCAAATCACAATATGCAGGGCGCCAGAATGTTTCAATAATTTGCAAATTCTGAAAATCATTAAGTAACAAAAAAAAAATCGTGATATCGGTAATAGACAGATGAAATTAACGAATCATTCTGGGCTACCTAATTATAAAGCAGATTCAAAAACTTTGCATCAATACACTGATTTCTTAGAAAAACAATTTTCAATGGATCAATGGACTTAAGCCAGAGCTAGTAAAATTTCAAAATTAAAAAGTGGCTATTTGTGGTAGAATAACTTTTACAAACATTTTGCACTTTGAAAACAAAAGTGACGCTTTTGATATTTTAACTTACAAAGTTTAATAATGAACTATTATTAGCAGCAATTGTTTTGTCATTAATGGAACTATTTATTAGTTTTAATTTATTAGTTAACCAGAAAAAAAATTAAATAATGTACAAAGACGATTTTGTATAGTGTCACTTTCGTTTTAAAGGTGCAAAAGTTTCAAGTCTCATTGTAAATGCGATACCTATTTTATTTATCCTTACTATCTAAAAAATTGAAAAATATGTTAATATCAGATATTTGTAGTCTTGAATAGTTCTAAACTTAGAACTGAAGAATGATATGCAAGTTTCAGTCTTTTTTCCTCAACTTCAATGAAACAGCGTCCCAGTTTCCATTGTATTGCCCTTTTACCGCTTTGGGTATTCGGCTAGTCATTTTTATTTGATCTACTGTGTATGTATATCATCATAGAAGCATATTTTTATTATTCATTCTTCGGTGAACTTTCTGTATCACAATTCTTAGTGTCCTTTTAAAATAATGCCTGTACCACTTTAGGTATTTGGCCTATGTAAATTTTCTTATATGCTGGTTTACATGTAGTCGGAAGCGTTTTTGGAATATTTTCTGCATTCTGTTTATGCAAGAATAAATCAGTTGTCGAGTTCTAAGTAATCCCTCATCCCTTTTTCTTAAAGGGGTAAAACGCAGATAATATGTACATTTCCAAAATTGTCATAATATAAAAAATTCCATGACATTCATTGTCTAAGCCTAAAAAATAACTTTTGACATCGAGAACACTGAAGATGGACCAATGGTTTGTCAAAAAGGAATAAAATAATATATAGAAAAATTTAGAATGAAAAAGAACGCATAAAAAAAGGGCCAAATACATGGAAGACGGTTAAATGTTGCAGCATTTAAGTCAAAAAAAAAAAAAAAATATAGAAAAATTATGAATAAAAAAGGGATAAGATGAGGGTCAAGAACATTGCTGTATAGTTTAAGCAGCAAAAGAGGAAAATCTTAAGTATTAATGCCGAATTTAAGCCAAAAATAGAAAAAAAATTACCAAATAAAGAGATAGAAAAAGGTATAAAAAGTAGGAATGTGCACGAGCTTGATCGAGCAGGCTCGGTTCTTGCTTGTATTGCTCGAGCGGAGCTCCGAACAGTACAACCAGTCCGAAGCCCGAGCGGCTCCTGTATAATATTCGGCTCGAGCCTCGAACGATCCGAGCGTTCCGTACTCCGAATCATTCGAACTCTCAGTAATGAACTTATCGAGTAATTTTTCCATACCTAGTTGCATATTATTTAATAAAATTAATAAAACCTCGATCGTCTCTTAGTGTGACTATAAAAGCAGCCTCGTCAGAGAGATCACGTGTACAAGGTGTGATAATGTTTTCGAGCACTCCATTGCTTAAATGGACAGAGTTTATGACTGGTTACTTATTCGAAATATCAAATAATTTTCATTTATTCAAATGAAAAAAATCCTATATACTTACTGTAAACGTAAATGAAGTCAAAAACTTATTCTTATCACACTTATATTACGGGGACCTAAACACATTAATAACTTTTCACCACTAAATTTAATATTGAATGATTCATTCAGAGTACCGAACGCTCGGATCATAAGAGGCTCGAGCCGCTAAAGCCGCTCGAGCCTTACCGGTACGCGATGCGCTCGTATTGTTCAGAGCTGCGTTGTAGCGTGCTCGAGCTGCAATTTTTCGAGCTTGATCGCGAGCGCTCGAACTTTACAAGCTCGTGCACATCCCTAACAAAAAGGAAAAGAACGTTTGAAGAATGCCGCCTTGTTTAAGCAAAAAAAAAGAGAAACAATCAATAAGTATTAAAAAAAAAAAAACTAGAAAAATTATGCATAAAAAGAGGGACAAGGTCATTGAAGATAACCGCATTTTTTAAGCCCAAAAAGAGGGAAAACTTAATATAATAGTATAAAAAAGAATGCCAATGTTAAAGGATAAAAAGAGGGCCAAGAAATTGATTAAGAGAATTAACTCTAACATATTTATGAACCAAAAGATGTGACAGACCCAAATACAAACAAATTTTGAAATTTCCCAAGATTAGTCAGTGGGAAGCGATAAAAAAAGCGGTAAAGATATTTAAAACCATAACATAAATTAGGCTATTTGGATCCATTCACAAAACGTGTTAATTTTCCATGTATCAGTTTCCTTAATTTTCTGCCTTAACTGCCGTTCCTTACAAAATTCATTGTATTCGATGACATTTAAATTTTTAATGCAACATTAGAAGAGTAAATAGATTTTCCAGTAATTTTTTTTAATCAGAAAACTTACCCCATTAGTTAGATATACAAACAGCAAAATTAAATTATTTTTAGAGCTAAGTTACAGTAAAAAATTACACTGGTTGTATATCTGTCAAAATCTAAATTAAATCTTATGTCTAAACATTACTGATCACCAGACTCTTCCATGTCCGCTTATTGTCGTGTACCCACACTGTCCATTGTATGTTTACCAAAACGTCAGCAGATTTCGTTGTGGACCTGGTACAAATGAAAAAAATCTTTTTTTAATTACATTTATCAAGAAATAAAATTGGGTTTTTAGAAGCCTATCCGCCTATCTAAATTCGAATTTATCGAGATCTTCCGTCAAAGATCGTTAAAATTCTTGCAGTCAGTAGCAAGTCGGTCTCTCAACGTTTCTTCAGGTTACCAACTCCTCATTGGTAGTGTCTTCAAACAACTTCGATATTGAGACTATCTGTCTAAAATCGTCGATTCGATGTAGGTGAACAAAATTCAAAACGAATTTACATTCTCCCATGATAAGTGATACCCGCCCAGAATTCTAAACTAATGCCTTACGGAATTTAAATCCAAGGGACCAGTTTTGTTATTCTTGTGCAATGAATTATTTATTGAGAGACCTCGTAAGACAACCCCCACTATTTTTTTTTTATTTACAAAAAAATAAACAAATACTATACTATATTATATAATTTGAATTTTGTCCACTGCCAAGAATTTATTAACTTCTCGACATATTTTTCTTTACAGCTGTAAAAATCGCAGCATTTTTAGTAATTATGTGTAGCTTCGTTGTAGTAAATCCACAAAAAAAAAACTTCTTTCTTGCTTTCGAAATTCTTCCGAGCACTGGAGCAAATCCTAAGAATATTCAGCTCATTAGTCGAGGAGCTGGACTTAAGCTTATGTATACTAAAGGTGTAGAACGTAATGTTAGTCCAGCGGTTCTCCGTTACCGTCGTACAATGTTGTCGTTTGGTAAAAGGAATGTTTGCTCCAGATTCTTGTACGCACGCAGATCCTCTTGATTCTAAATTCTTCAAGAAGCGTCAGATGAAAAACATGAAATGCTTCAAACATCCAGCACAATAAATGCACGAAGATATCGATCAAATCATGTTTCTGCTAAACGATTCCATTTCAGCTGTTATAATATTAAAATACATTAGGGGATGGATAGTCACCGACCAATTCGGTTATGACAAAATCACATCCAGTATCAAACTTAAACCAAACAGTTAAATAATAAAGGGCCAAAATAAATCGCAAGGATTCCAAAATCGGTGTGAACGTTAAACAAGTTAAAATTGTTTTTTTAGCGGCCAAACTACTACCTTTAGTTGTACCGTTTTCATAAACCAACACAAGCTTATGAAAACTCAACAGCCGGAACCTCCAATAATGCTCAGTTTTAACTTGTTAATACATTTATAAATGTACAAACCTATAGAGTACCAATGTTAACAATAAAAAACAAAAACGTGTTTCAAACTTACATGAAGCGAAAACACATCAAGGTTAAAATAGTTACCAATTTTTATAAAAAAAAGGCAACACCGCACAAGTGCAAAACAATTTAACGAACTTAAAATAGAAAATTATTGTAAAAACTCACCTCAAATTGTACTGCATCCAGCCCTCGCTTACAAATCAACAATCCCAAGATTTTTCCCAGCCAGTTTTGCTCGCAGATATATTTAGGTACATTTTACAATAAGGGAATCTAAATCCTAGAAATATAGTTATTAAATTAACAGTGATTAGAAATTAACAACCTTTACTAGTCAGACGATACTTACCTCTAAACATCACCTACAACAGTGACAAG